TCTTTTTCGTCTTTGTGCAGGTCTGTTGGGAAAACTCATATGAACCAGCAGTCTTCAAGGAGCCATTTTGTCTTCACTCTGAGAATTTTGGGTGTGAATGAGGTTTGGACTGGCTAGACATTTAGCATGCCATTTTGATTGCTTCTTTTTATAAGCATATTTTCAGTTGACTAATAGTAGCCTATGTTAGAGTACCGAGCAACAAGTACAAGGTGTACTCAACTTGATTGATCTTGCTGGAAGTGAGCGTCTATCCAAGAGTGGGTCTACTGGAGATCGGCTAAAAGAAACTCAGGTACAAGCATGAAACTCCAATATCTTTTTAAAGAACTTGCCTATTTTCCAAGATGTTTCTTGCTACTTATTTCTCTGTTCCATGAGCTTTGTTCAGGCCATCAACAAGAGTCTATCGTCTCTAAGTGATGTCATATTTGCTTTAGCAAAGAAAGAGGAGCATGTACCTTTTAGGAACTCAAAGCTTACATACCTTCTCCAGGTAAAAACAATTCAACTCCTAGTTAAAATACAACATGGTTCTGGGTGTAATTTACTTGAGTCATAAGGCGTTTCCATAACTAAGCTAGTAGAGATACTAAAATACTTCCAGAATAAAGGTAGTCCTTATAGGACTGATCTATATATTTCCAATGTCATTTTAACAATTGTGAAATATGTCCATTATATTCACAATTTTTTTCCACACCCCTTTATCTGTGCTGATTTATTGTCTTTCCACATCTACTGATTATATGTTTTATTCAGCCCTGTCTAGGTGGTAACTCAAAGACATTAATGTTTGTTAATGTTTCGCCGGATCCTTCTTCAGTGGGTGAATCCCTGTGTTCACTCCGATTTGCAGCACGGGTTAATGCATGCGAGATTGGGATCCCAAGGCGTCAAACTAGCTTGCGTCCATCAGATTCTCGCTTAAGCTTTGGCTAACTTTTTGGCAGAACTCTCGTTCTAGCTTTTGAAATTGGTTGTCTGTAATTTCTTTGTGTGGCAGTTCGATTTTAACTGAGAACTAAAATACCTCTAACAGCATCCACCTCTAATTTGTATAGTGGAGAAAATAGTCTCTGCATCAGTAATAGCATGGGGCTTTTCCTTTCAGCCATATCTGTATTTACTAGGTTATCTCCTTCTGTATTAATACTTGATTTATCACTTTACCTCCTCCTTGTACCACTTTTTTGGAGAGACTTTTTGGTGGGAAATCTTCAAAAGTGTGAAACAAATTATTTGAAGTATCCATAGTTGTTGCTCTCCAGGTTTCAAGTTAATTATATTTTATATTGCGCTTCAATTATTTAGGATTTAACTTAATCAACTTTGCTTAAGTATCATAGAAAGTCACTAGGAAGAAATAAAAGATGAGTACATTTTATATGATACTTTTTTGTTTGCCCTGGCGGTTGACGGTTTGACGCGCCACATCCAAAGGGAGGTGATGTGGTGCATGTTATTTGCAGACGATATTGTATTGATTGATGAGATGCGAGGTGGTATGAACGTGAGGTTAGAGGTGTTGAGGCAAACTCTAGAGTCTAAAGGTTTCAAGCTGAGCAGGGCCAACACATAATACTTGGAGTGTAAGTTCAGTGGTGAGACTTAGGGAGGGGAAGGGGAGGTGAAGTTGGGCTCGCAAGTCATTCCTAGGACAGGAAATTTTAAGTACCTTGGATCTATTATTCAGGGGATGGGAAAATTGATGAAGATATCACATATCGTATTGGGGTAGGATCTATGTTGCGCGGACTCTCCAAAATGTAGCCGCACCCGTGTCGGATCCTTCAAAAATGCATTACTTTTGGAGGATCCGACACGTATCCTGCCACATTTTCGGAGAGTCCGAGCAACATAGGGCAGGATTGATGAAATGGAGACTCGCTTCTGGTGTTTTGTGTAACAAGAAGGTGCCACCAAAACATAAAGATAAGTTCTATAGAATGATGGGCAGGCCGACTATGTTGTATAGGGCTGAATGTTGGCTTGTGAAGATCACCCATGTCCCAAAAGATGAAGATAGCAGAGATGATGATGTTGAGATGGATGTGCGGGCACACCAGGATAGATAGGATTATGAATAGGGTTATTCGCGATAAGGTGTGTGTGGCCCCTATTGAGGACAAGATAAGGGAAGCGAGACTTAAGTGGTTTGGACATGTGAGGAGGAGGAGCACAGATGCCCCGGTGAGGAGGTGTGAGAGTTTGATATTGGAGAGCCTGCGGAGAGATAGAGATAGGCTGAAGAAGCGGGGAGAGATGATTAGGCAAGACATGACGCAGCTTCAGCTGACTGAGGACATGACCCTTGATAAGAAGACGTGGAGGTCGAGGATTAGGGTAGTAGGGTAGACAGTCTGGATTTTTCATATCGGTAGTATTAGTACGCACTGTCGCATTCTGTTGGTAGTAGGTTTCTTTGACTACCCATCGTTTCCTTTTATTTTGATCATCTTATTATCGTGTTGTTTTTATGCTGCTTTTACATGGCTTTTTGGTGTTGTCCCTCCTTGTCTATCTCTTAATTAATGTGGTGCTTATATTTTCCTAAGCCGAGGGTTTATTGAAAACAACCTCTCTTCCTTCACAAAAGTAGGGGTAAGGTTTGCGTACACACTATCCTCCCCAGACCCCACTATGTGGGGGTAATAATGAGTATATTGTTGTTGTTGTTGTACTTTGGCAAAGTTGACGTATATTTTTGTTACAAAAAATTGTTTAGTCACTTTCTATGATATTTTGGCAAAGTTGAGTGATTCTTTGTATACTAAAAAATAGTTTAGTGACATCTTTTGATATTTAGGCAAAGTGGAGTGATTTTTTTTGTTCTAAAAAGTAGTTTAATCACTTGATACAATAAAATAAGTTGAGAACTTGAGATGATCATTTATGAAATTAACTTATGTACATACTACAAAGTAAATAATTGAAATCCAGTGCATGTGAGATTGCCTACTTTAAGAGCATTACTTTGTTCGAATAATTTATCCAAATATTACTGATACATGCCGTCAATCCACACTTATCTTGCATAAAATTATAGTACTAGAAAATGTTCCCAATAAAACATCTTCCTCCTTTGTGTGAGTTCAGTTGATATTCCATAAAACATGAGGGATTAGCCGATTAGGTAAAGTCAGGCTGTATCCGCTGGGGGCCTAAAGCCAAAATTCAGAGAGAGGCCCTAAGTAAGAATATCAACAACAAATTTGCAATGAAAAAGTATAAAATAAAAATAGAATAATAAAACCGACTCAAAAATTTGATAAGTTGATATACAACAACAATATACACAGTAAAAACTCACAAAGTGAGGTCTGGGGAGGTAGAGTGTACGTAGCCCTTACCTCTACCTTGGGAGGTAGAGAGGTTATTTTTGAAAGATCCTCGGCTCAAGAGAAAATATGGACAAAAAAAGGCCAGATAAAGACAATCAATTCAATGCAGTATGAAAATGAAAATAAGGAAAGTGAATAAGCCATGATAAAGCCGTCTAAAAAGGAGCAGTAGCTATCACAGATAAATAAGATAATCGAAGTATAAGAAATAATAGATAGTAGTAGAAATCAAAGGGTAATAAGCTATAAAGCAAGATAAGTTGATATATTGATATCGAAAAGTGTTGCATTGCTTCAATATAATGATTGCTTGTTGTAATGCTTTGAAGAAGACAACTTGTAAGCCGCGGTAAGTTGCCGATTGAGAGACTTTTTGTATTGAGAATAAGAATAGGTAAAAGAGAAAATGAAAAAGGTAAATATATAAATAATAATGTGGCCCATATTAGTTGTTAGGATATAATAGAGGCAAAGAAATAATTACCCGACCAATGTAAAGAAACAATTTATTAAAAATTATTTTATTCTCTAATTACTACAACGACCCTCACATTAAAGTTATTGTATTTTCGCTCCAAAAATGCTTTTTAAATTTAATGCACACATATTTTTTTTAATAATACATATACAATATATTTTTAAGAAAAAAAGGGAACCCAAAAAATTGGAGCCCCAAGCTCTTGCTTTACGCCTTATAATCGAACCAACCATGGGTAAAGTAACAAAAACATTAATAAATTATGCAAAAATTAATAAATTACAAAACGCGTCGTACATGCGGAATTTGTGGTTAATTTTTTCTGCTTATGAGCTAGTCAGACCTCTTAGATTACAAATCCAATTGAATGTGGATTTGTAGGAGTGAACACAACCCCCCCCCCTAAAAAAAAAACATTTACTCCAAGTTAACATTTGTTTGTGAAATTGGGAATAAAGTTAAATTTGTAAAAATAGCACGGTATAGCGAGTTTTCGGACTGGTCATTCGAAAATAGCCATCGTTTACCAAGTCAATGAAAAATAGCCACTATTTTGCTGCAACAGAGACCGGTCCAGTATAATATACTGGAGTTCGGTGCACCTGTGTATCAACTCTAGCATATTATGCTGGACCGGTATACTTTGCTGGCTCCAGTATAATATATTGGAGATTAGAGCACCGGTGCTTCAAACTCCAGTATATTATGCTGGACCAGTATACTTGTTGGAACTCCAGTATATTATGCTAGAGTTCTAGTGTACTTATGTTGGAACTCCATCATATTTTGCTGAAGTTACAGCATACTTATCGTGGAACTCCAGTATAATATGCTGGAGTTCAAGTATACTTATGCTGGAACTCGAGCATAATATACTGGCGTATTTTCCGAGTTTTGAACTATATTTTCGCTCAGATTTATCTTTACATGAAAAGTGACTAAATTTCGATTACTTTTGAAACTGGGCTATTTTTGAACGACTAATTGTAAATCCGACTATTTTTGAGTTTCACCCGTTAAATTTGGACGGAAAAAAGAGAAAAAGAAAGAATTTTGGAGTTGAAGTTGTAGTTCGAATATGCATTTAAATTTCAACTAAAATTTTCATTTCAATATTCACAATTTTTTTTTTCTCTAAAAAATTAGAACTATTCATATACAAAAGCTTTATCTATACTGCCTTATCTAGATGACCAGATGTTCCCAAAGTTGTAACAATTTCTTTCCAAAAACTCTATCCCCTTTACAAGAATTCACTTCAAATGGCTTCCAATCTTCTTAAATTCCATGCACAACCCATCCAAAATTTCCACCCTTTGTTCCACTTCAACCTTACCAAATTGCCATCCTCAACTTCTTCCTTATGCTCTATAGGATCAACACAGCAACTTAACAATCTTTATCTCTCTGTCTCCTTCACAAAACCAACCAAGTTCAATTTTTTACCTCTTCAATGTTCACTCTCTTCTCCTACCCCACCTTCCACTAAAGAAGATGCCATTTCTCAAGCAAAGTTGTCTCTTTTAACTACTTTAGAGAAACCCCTTAACAATCCTAAGCTTGTTGGGAGACTCAAGAAACTCAAACAACCAAGATTTCGTGTTGAAATTCCAGTTGTTGATGACTCCTCATCTGCACTATCTCAGCTTGCTCTTGATATTTTTGCAAACATGCCCATTAAAAGAAAAGGCCCAAAAATCAAGATTCTGCTTTTATGGCCTAACCAAAGATTAACTCAAGCTGCACAAAAAGCCTTCGAGAGTAAGTCTTCAAACCCCATTATTGAAAATTTTGATATTTCATCAATATCTGATGATGGGGATATCAGAATGATGAGTTCTGGAGATGTGATAGTGTTTATGGCTCCAGAGGCTTCAAAATTAAGTGTAATGGAGGCTATTGCTGATGCATTGTATCCAAAGCCTGTGGTGATTTTCAATCCCAAATGGGGGTTTGATGAAGAGAGTAGCTTTGGTAAGTTGAGTGGATTTGTGGGTTCATTTGAGGTTGTGTATTCATTTATGGGATTAGAGGTTAAAGGGATATTAAGTAAGAGAAATGGTGTGATGTTTAAGTGTGTTAGGAATGGGGTTTTGAGTGGTGAGAAATGGTATGTCTTTGTTGAAGAAGATGGAGAATTGAAGGTGGTTTCAAGGTTTAAAACAAGGCCATCGATTGAGGAAGTTGAAAATGTTTTGTATAATTTGATGGCGATGAATTCACCAATCACAAAGTCAGCAAAGTTCTTGAAAGATTTGGTGTCAAATGTAAGGGGACAAAAGTAAAGCACAATAATTCAACTTTGTGTAGTTCTCATTAGAACTCTTTTGGTGAAAAAGGTGACTTAATTTTTAGAACAACAGTGTCTCGCTTGATCCTTTACAATGATATTACTGTTTTGCTACTTGTTTCCTTTTCTGTCTTCCCAATAATTACAGTATTATTCCTCTTAGATGTCCATACTAGCTTTGCCAGGTTTTAGTGGCTGTTACAACTTAAACTCTGCTGCAATTTCACTCTCTCCACTCCCTCACCCTTACTTAAAAAGGGACAAAAATGAAAATAAAGGGGAGAAAGAACGAGATTTATGTCTCTTTGCAACTATGGGAGTAGAACTATTGGCTTCACAAACTAGGGCAAGTAGGCATTGACATATGTACTTCTATTGCAAGGAGGTGGAAGCCATGTATCCGCCTTCTTTTGCTAGTATGGTAATTTGATCTCTTTCCTCATAATTTTGCATGGTATATCCAAAAAAGTGAAAAACACATTTAGCAGCACCATCTCAAGGATGAATCACTTACATTATCTGTGTAAGCATTCTTTGGTGAAATTCCATCATATGTTGCATAATTCTAAAACCTACCGACTAAAACAAATCAGAGAACCAGAAACTCCTGTAGTCATGAAAAGTTCCAGAATGTCAAGTGGTGCTGTTGCCAATTTACCATATCTCATTAAGAATTGGAAATCTTTTGGTCGTTTGATCTCTCTTCAGACGTATGTTCTCTCATTTACAAGCAACACAGCAACATACTCTGTTCCAGGTAATCTAGAGATGCTCTAATATGACAGCTTTTGATAATTTTCAGAGAAGTTAACATATTTGCACGTGCAATGTTTGTGTTTTTTGAAGGGGAGCCTTGGCGTAACTGGTAAAGTTGCTGCGATGCGACCAGGAGGTCACGGGTTCGAGCTGTGGAAACTGCCTCTTGCAGAAATGCAAGGTAAAGCTGCGTACGATAGACCTTTGTGGTCCGTCCCTTCCCCGGGACCCCATGTATAACAGGAGCTTAATGCACCGGACTGCCCTTTTGATGCTTGTGTTTTCTGGTAACATAGTCCTAGCACGTGCCAAAATGGCTCGATGAAATGGACACGGCCATGAAGATGAAGTGTAATTAGACAAGGAGTTAATGTCCCTAGCGGTCACAAACTTAAGTCTAATTTCAAGTTCTGCATAGGTAAAGAAAAACTTCATCACCCAATATTCCAATAAGGGCTATCAAGCAGTTTCTAAAGCTATGTTGGTTTATAATCTGGCTTTGTCTAAACAAAACCTTAAGATTGCTTAAATTGTTTTGGGTAGGAAGGTGTGGAGGTCGAGAATCAAGGTAGACGGCTAGTAGGTAGTCGAGAGTATTAGTGTTAGTCTTGTATTCTGTTATTGTTGGATTTTTTAGTATTACTTGTTGTTCCTTTCGTTTCGTTTTGTTTTCTTACTATCTTGTTGTTGTTAGTGCTTGGTGCTATTGCTTTTCTTCTCGTCTTTCATGAGTTGAGGGTCTGTTGGAAACAACCTCTCTACCTTCAAGGTGGGGTAAGGTCTGTGTACATATTATCCTCCCCGAACCCCACTTGTGGGATTACACTAGTTTTGTTGTTGTTGCATATTGTCGAAGTGATGGATCATTTTGGCTAACTCGCAATTTAAGCCTTCAAGCTAGAAGTGGTATGTTTGACTTATAGTTGTTTTCCTCCATACTTCTAGATTAACAATGTTCATGCCGTAGGCCCATGCATCTCACTAAATCAAAGTTTTTTGCTATGAGGGGATGAGAAAAATCCAAATCGCTTTTGAATCACTTTGATATTACAAATTGTCTTTTCCCATGCACATCTTCATAGCTCCATTCGCCTTTTCATTCATGTCGATGTCCCACATAAGCGAAAAATGATTTTGAACTATGATGTCGTCATCCAGCAAAACAACCTTATCAAGAGTGGGTTACACTTTAAAGATATTCATACTTAGTAGAAATATTTAGGTGCTTCAAAGGGTGGAATGGATGTTACATGCATTTTAAGTAAAGGACAAATGTCTTGAAATTTCTGCGCTTACCTCTGGAAAAGGAATGCTTATGTGGTTCCCTTTCCAAAAATTGTGTGCTTCTGTGGTTCAACAGTGAATATATTGTAACTTTGCTGCACGCCACAGTTGTGGATGACCCTTACCCTGAACTGTGACCTTGGCTTTTGGTCTTTCTCCATCAGTTCCTGAACTCAGACCTTCGTCTTCACGAACCAATCAAAATGGTGCAACTCTTTAAATCTTATTATGTGAAGGACAACCTTCTTCAGGTGAGTGATGATGCAACAACAGAAGCGGCGTGAATATTATCAGAGGCAAGTACGTGATGGGAGTATGAATTATCAACTAAGGCAGGGACTAGTTATTGATGACAACTGAAGACGGGCGTTGGCATTCGTTGGATGCTCATGTACTAGCTTCACAGCAAGACAATGCACCAGTTCTAAAATGCAGCTAGATGCTACATGCCGGTATAGGTAATCTTGAACTTTAGCAGTTTTTGTTTTTTGTTCAAGGAGACTGACCTGCAAGAGAATAGGCACTTCTCAAGCCTTAGTTTGGATGCAAGTTGTGCTCTTAGTTTGTATGTGGGATGTCATTTTTGCATTTTTTGTGGCTGAGGTTTGCATTGTGGATATCTCATGACCTTTTGCTTCATAAATTTTTCTACTTTTTTGTGTTCTAGTTATTTATTTAGAGGGCAACAGAATTAACCAACTCAACTTCCTTGTCTTGCAGACAAATTTTGGTCTATGACACCGTGTGGTACACTGATACCTTCAAATGTTTCTAATTGTATATAGGTTTGTTGAAGGCACGGTAAGAGCATAATACAATAGTTTTAAGCTTGACTGCGAAGGTTACATATCTGGTTTTTCGCCCTTAATTTCTGAAATAAACTCTTGGTCTGAGGGTTCTTCCAATACTTCATGTATCACCCCCCTAACATAGTGCAGGGGAATCAGGAGATTTAAATACGTGATTCTCAAATTACCTAATAAAAGAATAACCCAAGAGATCTTTAGTATGAAAATAGCAAAATGGCTGTTCACATCAATGAAAGAACACAAAGAGAAAGGAAATGATGGTTTAAGTCTTAGTAGATGTTTTCTTTTGCATCACCTAAATCCAGGAAGCAACTCTGTGTATAATGAACTAACAGATACTATTAGTAAGATGATAATTACAACATTTGTTATCAGGTTCTACCAACTCGAACAGCAGTAGTAATTTACTTGTACAGGCAATATGTTCTTTCTTTACTACTACAAGTTTCTACCAACTCGAACATCAGTAGTAATTTACTTGTACAAGCGAATATGTTCTTTCTTTACTACTACAAGTTTCTACCAACTCGAACAGCAGTAGTAACTTAGTGTTTCACTTGTTATTTTCCTTTGTTCTGTGAATTTGTGATTCTCCTAAGGTTGTCTATGTAGCTAGCAAGCATAATTACCTTATTTTTATATTGTACCTTCTTCAGACTGCTATGTTCTGCTGAAATATTTTCAAGCCTTCGCGCTCAGAGAGCTGTGCTAACGCTTCCTGAGCTATTGTATCTGCAATATTTTCTTGAAACATTTAGCTGGTAAAACTGTGAACAGGCCTAAGACTTGGTGATATTTGGAGCTGCATTACCTCTAACTTTCAAATACGAACCGACAATGTGCCTCGCAAAACAAGGCTAAAGAAACCACAATCTTGGTAATGTACATGACCCCTGTAAGAGATGCTGTAAAATAAGTTAAAATAGCATGGTCTAGCCAGTTTTCGGACTGATCATTCAAAAATAGTCAGCATTTGCCAAGTCATTGAAGAATAACCACTATTTTGCTGCAACAGAGATCAGTCCAGTATAATATACTGGAGTTCGGTGCACATGTGTATGAATTTTCAGCATATTATGCTGGATCGGTATACTTTGCTGGCTCCAGTATATTACTGGAGCAGCGGTGCCCCAAACTCCAGTATATTATGCTGGACGGTTTATTATAAGTTCCAGTATAATATACTGTAACTCCAGTATATTATGCTGGAGTATTTTTCCGGATTATGAACAGTGTTTTCGTTCAGATTTATTTTTACATGACAAGTGGCTGAATTTCAATTACTTTTGAAATTGTGGCTATTTTTGAATGACCACTTGTAAATCTGGCTATTTTTGAATTTCTCCCGTAAAATAAAGGACTTAATCGTTTTTACTACCTATTAAGAGTTATGCGAGTGCATAACAGAATGTATTTTGTACTTAAGTTACTAATGAAATCATTACCATAAAAATTATGGCCATTGTACATATAACCTTATGGCCAGGACCAGGTTTGTCTTCAGACGGCAATTAAGGAGTGCGCAAATGTCTACGGCATAAACAATTTTGTAACCGAACTCTTTGGAGCATCAACTACACTTGTGTCAGTGGTCTTACCAAACACACGATAAAAACGCACCATTCATATAATATTCACTGTTGGATAAGCTCTGCGCTAATGGCATATGATTTCTCGAAACATACGTTAAAAAGTTCCAACTTTTTTTAGAATCTCCAGAAATAAGTGTGCGCACATAATATACAATAGAGGACACACAATGTGTTGCATAATCCCTTTGGTCTGTTGCGTGAACGCAGAATGCTTCGTGCACTGTGCTACCTTTTTTGCTAGACAATAATTATTTGTGTAAAGTGAAATATTATAGTATTAAGAACTTTTACATGTTCCAACAAGGGTTGTGGTGGAGTGGTAAGTATTCCTCTATCCTTAACTATAGGTCTCTGGTTCGAGCCCCTGGGTATGGAGTCGCCTTTATTAGGGAGTGCTTTATCCACCAATGTGGGACTTTTTGGCGTGAATCTGGATTTAGTCGGGCCCAATGTGGGTACCGGACACCGGATGGGAAACCAAAAAAAAAGAACTTTTACATGTAAATTGATGAGTTTTGTTGTAGATAAGTTGAGCAATGTTTTAATTTCCAGATGGCTACAACACAAAGAGCTAGAGAGGTATTGTTTGGCACCTGTCAATTTAGAGATAAAAATGCTTGATATTGATGGGTGAAAGACGAGAGCAATATAAGGCAACAAGTTACTGGTTCTACTATTTACAGCTTCATAGTTTGTTATTTACAATGTCAAATTACTCACAGTTTGAGCATCACAGTCGAGGACCCTCCTACCTCTTAATTCTTTACATATTCACCAACAAAATACTAACCCTTCCAGGAGCCTTCCACCTAAATAATTGGAGGAAAACCTGACAAAAAATAACCATATTATCATTAATTAACCATAAAAAATGTAGAAATTCTAACTCTTAAATAAATGAATAGACAAGACAATGAAGTGAATTCAGAAGATGTTATTCATAGAAATATTTGACTCATCAGAATGAACAAGAAGAGAACAGAAGTTATCAGCATGCCGATTTATCTTCCAGAATTCAAGCTGTTGCTACTGTACTCTGCTATCACAAAAGAATGAGAGAACAGAATGCTGATCAGAAAAAAACAAAAGCAAAAACCGGGTTGCAGTGCATTACCTTCAGTTTCAATTAGACTCGCCAACTTCATCTTCGAAATGATTCTCCGTTTTTGCACCAAGTAGTTTTGCGATTTACAAACTTTGATTTGTCTGCATCACGGTGCTCCTTGTGTTATTGACGAAATCTAGGCGAGTGGCTGCTTCAGGGCTGTCCCTACTATTTATAAAGTCTCTACTTTTATGACTTGTCATCCGAAGACTATTGCACGCGGTTTCTCTGCAATGGTGAAGTTCAATGCTGGATCCATCAATAGAGGCACAACCACTATTTAACATAAGCTTGCTGTTTTCAGAGACCTCCGGCCTTGGAGATAGCTTTTGGCCATTGTCGCTATGAACATGAAGCCTAATTTATCCGTTAAACAAAAAAAGAAACCTCTACTTTAGATAGTGTATTTGTGTATGTACCAGAACACTATAAGCAAAATAATACAAAATAAAGCAAACTCAATAATTAATAACAAATCAGAAAATCACTCCCCACCCTTAACAGAAAATCAGTTTATAAATCTTTTCAATCCCATGGAAAGAGCCATCACACAAACCCAAATTTGTTGGCATCTATATGTTAAGTTAAAGGAAGAATATTGATTACCTCCCTTGTTGGGTCTTGGAAGCTTGAAGGTGATTAAAAACTGGATATAAATGCTTTGACCTCGCCTCAACCATATGAGTTGCAATTACTTCAACCTCAGCCTCTCCACCACAACCATCAACAACATAAATCCTATCCCTAACAAATGATTGAAAAAATACCTGGACATAAAATAAAAAAAACATAATGGAGATTTCGGCAATTACACAAGGATGGAAGCGAGATTTGCTGGATACAGATCATGGTATCACACAATGATTAAAGTACCTCAGGTTTTGCCCATAGCGGATTCTGAGGTTTATGCATTTGAAGCTCTGCTTCAGATATGTAAATGTGATGTTTTTCCTCTGAACTTGTCTTTCCTTTAGTGATTGTGTCCCTAGTCTTGGAATAGAGACCATTTCCCTTTGTTATTCCTTCAGGAAATACTTTACTGCTATCAGAACTACCAAACTCACCATATATATCAGCATTATCATCTCGTTCTTTGCAATTTTGTTTCTGGAAAATATTCCACTTTTGGATTGCCTTTACCACTAATCTTGAATCCACTTCAGGACCTGCTCTGTAAGTTGAACCCACAGCAGGAATAGTTGGTATCAAATCTAGCCCAGAACACATACGCAATGCATATTGTGTCATACAGCCCGGAGAAGAAAAAACAAGCAGCCAATAATTTGCTTTTGGAAGGCCTAAATCAGCATATTGATTAGTACTTCTGCAGTTGCGAAAAGCTGAAGCTATGGACCCAGAAAAAGAACTCAACTGTCCAGTTGCAACAGCTGCAGCACCACTTACAGTATTTCTCCAACCAATACTTCCACTCCTTATTCGACCAACAACAGAAAGGGCCACTGGAGGGCCAGATTCAGAGATGCTCTGTTGATTAAGCACCTGAATTTTTGAATTCGAGGCGCAATGAACTGCAGGTTTTTCCATCACAACAGAGCCATTACTCATATTAGTAAGACATGCATCTGAAGATTGAAAATCAACCACTTCTCCTGAAGCAGAAATTGTAAATAAATGGCTAGTCCCTCTGGAAGAACTTATCATAATCCACTGGCTATCACTACTAAAACTTATGTCTTGTATGACCTGAGATGACCAAAAGGAAGATTTAGTTGACTACAGTCCTCATAAAACAGTAAATTTATACAGGGAGAGAATGCAGATGCACTACACCTACAGCATTAGTCAGACCACGCTGCAGTCTGTAAAGATGAACATAGGATGAACCAGGATCACTAGCCGAGGTATTTTCAGATAGTATAGGCATTATCCGGAATACATTGATATTATGACCCTGAACTGAAGCTGTCACCAGAAGAGTACTGCTAGGATCAAAGCATAGAGCTGAAATAGGACTCTTATGTGCCCTAAACTGCGCAATAAGAGCTTTGCTGACGATGTCTCTGACAATGACCTAAGATGCACAGAGTGTAATGACGTTAACATAGAGGTTCAATGTTGATCCAGGACAGTGTTTTGCATAAAGCACCAAATGTCAATCACCCCAACATGTAAAACCAATAAATGTACACATAGAATCACAAAGCAATAACCATAAAGTAAGAGTTCATTATGAAGATGAAAGGAACTTATTGCATAATCAGTAAAACAAAAGATCAGTCAAGAACTAATTTTTTATGTTAATCAAATCAAATGAGGAAGAGAGCGAAAACTATTCTGTGCACAACAAGGAGCAGAGATAGAAACCAGTGAGTGACATGGCACATGAAGACCTAATTTTAAATCACCATTCACAGTGAGATAACTGATGTCGATCAGAGTAATTTGTACCATTCCAACACTCTCTGCACCTGGGAAATGACCGTTATCAGTTCCTGGTATCTTCAGACGAGCATTCCGAGATTGAGAACTATTACCATCTGGTGACAGGTCAGAATAGTGCCTAGTGAGCTTCTTATACCCAATGATCCCTAGAGTCACAATACCACCAGCAAGTTGCTTGCTGGATTCCTTTGCATAATGAGCAAAAAGGCTCCCATTTGTAGCCGAACTGGGAAGACTATCTGAAGGAGTAACATGTTGCGGACTAACATGACCAGAATTTGAGATGGTAATTGGACTTCCACTATAGGCCATCCATCTGGGACCTAAAGCGAGAGGTCCCACACCTATACTGCCGAACCCTGAAAAACCCGGGATGACAGGATTGGTAACAACAGTATATTCCTTATCTAGAGTTGCAGCATCAAAGCAGTGTATCTGCAATAGAAGCAACTTAACCCAAGTCTAGCAAGAAAAGATTAACCAAACGTTTGTAATATCATGCACATACCTGAGCTGCTTGTAAGATTGCAATCACTCGAGAACTACATCTTACCAAGTGAACAGCTGATCTGAACTTCAACTGATGCACATAAGAGTGAGATGTCAGGGAATAAAACCAAACAGCAGTGGGCAGAAAACCAGTACTTGCTTGGTCATGATACTGTTGGATGGTCCCATCATGAAGTTTTCCTATGCCCTCCCGAATGTTACTACCTCCAGACAATGACACATCAGCACAAAGTATTAAAACTGGGTGACTACCAGAAAATCTGTCCTCGTGCTTCTTTGATGCTATTGGTTTTGGTAATGTTTGCATGAAAGAAACAGGACCATCTTGCCTGGAAACCAAGTTGTGTACATTATCACAATCTTCAACATCCCAAACCTGGAAACCATACTGACACCCCAAGAGCAAGATTTGACGAGTACTGCCTCCCTCACATTCCAGCTTGTCAAATCCAGCCCACAGAACCTGATGTGGTAGAAAAGAAATATGAGACTGCATAATTCCCATTGGGAATTGCGGTAAAAGATTCCAACGATATTCACATAGCAATGGGACAACCACCACCTCTTAGCACTACAGATAGATATTTGAACTGATATCATATAAATAAAGCTGATCAGCAAAAAAATGTTTAACATCTATAATAAATGTGATCCATCATACAACCAAAATTTTTGGTTGCTAGCTTTCAGTATTAAGCTTTTCTCAGAAAACGAGAATAATTTCTTCTTAATGATGTGGGAACTCCTATAGCCTCTATACAAATCGTATACTAAGAAACTCAGTATTAATCTTCTCAAGGATGGTAACCTCGGAGCTCCTATAGACTCTATCTAATCCACAATATATAGGAACTACATTTCAAAATCTGACTACCCTAAATGCAGAACCACAACTAAATTAACTCCTTGACTGGTGAAGGCATCCTGCCTGATCTACAACCGCTACAACACTGTTGACCTGAGCAGTTTTGGTTTTGATGATTGACAAAGGAACACATGCATGAACTAGGTCCATGGACAGTATACACAGGTGACGGACAGAATCAAGCAAAAGGCATGCACGTGAAAGGGATAAGTATAAGTGGTTATTTCTGATAATCCCTGAACGAAAAGATTACATATTTGATAAGGAGCAAGACTCCTTATCAATGATAAGGGAAGAGTTAGAAATTGAAGTTGACTAGAACTCTTCCACCAAGGAAGAGTATAGCATTGGAACTCTAGTTATTTTCTATTCTACTAATTCTATAAATTGTAGGATGTTCTCATTTCACAGGCACGCACAGATACTGAAGTTAAGCACGAATTGAGAGCAAAATAGCAAGGCATTTTGTGAGCAATTCTCGTGATATTTAAGAGTGCGATCCTGAAGCTACATGAACCAAATTGAAGAACCAGCTCCATAAAGAGTTTCATGTATCTTTCTTTATTTCTAGTTCAAAGTGTTGTAGGCATTTTGAGTTGTACCTTTCAGCTTTCTAAGAAGCAAATTGTACTAGGTACCTGAGTTGTATCTTTCAAGTTAGAGTTAACTTGAAGTAGTCGCAACAGCCTGTGACGTATTGCTATAAGGGTTAGAGTTAATACTTAGGTTTGCAAAAGGTTGTAAACTCTAGTTGTATTGTTCAAGCTAGAGTTAACTTAAAGCAATCGCAGCAGCATGTGGCTGGTTGCTACAAGGGTTAGAGGTAACCATTAGGTTTGCAAGAGATCATTAGGTTTGCAAGAGTTTGTAAACTTTGTTGGCTCGGAGTAGTAGTGGAGTGTTTGGGGAAAATCCTACTAGGTAGTAGTTCGTGGTTTTTTCACCTTTTGAGCTGGGTATTTTCCACGTAAAAATCCTTGTGTTCTTTACTTTATGCATTATTTATTCCGCGACTGTAGTGTAAGAAACGACAGAATAACCAGGCCCTTCTATAATTTGTGCACACGAAAAATTAGACACCACACAAATCACCCCTCTTGTGTGGTACTGAAGTATAAAACATCAAGCACCAAGTGAGAACCAGTACACTGATGGAGGGAACTTAGTAATCTTTTCAATCCCAAAATAGAACAGCCGATAGTCATAAATTAGTCTTCTCTTCCCAAGGTTAGCACTCATCACTAGTGAGGATTACTCCAAGGGGCCCCAGAATTAAAATGACTCTGCTACAAGTCAAAATAGCCATTACTGACAACTATCAAACTTCATAAAAGAATTTCAGTTTGAAATCCAAAAAACTGCATTAACTAGCACCATTCAGCTTTCAACATCAAAATTTCATGCAGCACCTATGATCCAGGTATAATGTGATCAGAAGTTTAGCAAGCAAAGTTCCAACCTTTTGCTAAAATACAAGCTATGTACCATGATATTTAACTAATGCAAAGCAATTTTGGAAAGGGATACAACAACAACTACTACACCTCAATCCCAAACAAGTTGGGGTTGGCCATATGAATCCTCACCGGTCACGTTTCCCATTTAAATTCAGCTCAGGCCAAAATTATACAAAATAAAAATGAAAAGTACGAGGGGGCGGGGTATGAATTTAAATTATTTTTCAAAAAAAAAAACACGGGAAAATGCACCTGATCATGGGTAGAATCATTGTCCCTATCCACAATAGCAGAAGCAGCAGACCTAACTGTGGAAGCAACCGTTGAAGCACCAGAGGATACAATCCTCGAAAGTGCTCTAAACGACGTCGGAATGAAGCCGTTACTACTCTTCCCTGACTTTGATCCTTCTATTTGACAATCACTGTTCTTCAGCCCCATGCCCTCCAAAACACAAAAGAAATTAAAGTAATCAAAAAACACCCTTTTGCTTCTCAATCCTCTCTTTTCTACTATAGCCAAAACATGTTTACTATAAAACCACAAATAAAACTTTTAACTTCTAAAATACAACAAGTTTATCAAAAATTTCTGTGTTGTATGTATTCTGATAGAATTATACCACTCTAGTAAATGTTGATAAGGAATAATAAAACCCCGAGAAGTATTATACAAATTTGAATTAAAGAATATATGATTATGAGTTCAATTGAATCGTCAGGGCTTCAAGTCTTGGACACAAAGAAAGAGAGATGTTTTAAATACGAAATTGAAGGGATCAGATAACGAAGAGATGTGAATATTTGAGGCTTTTTTTTCTTCTTGTTTTCATTGTCTATTTGTCTCTCTCGGAATCCTCTTCTATTCTTGTCTTTTTTTCAAAGCAGAAACTTGAAAGTTGAAAGCGTGACAAAGTGGAAATTCTACAGAAGAAATCTCTCTTCCCACGTCTTTGTCCCTCTCCAATTTTCACGTGCCTTTCACCAAAAAATAATACTATAATTTTGAAACCAACTTAAAGAAGATAAATAAATGTATTACAGCTCAATAGTTGAACAGCAGAAAAAAGGTACTATTACGATTCACTAATGAAGAGATCATAAAATAATGTTAGTAGTACGTATAAGCTTAAATCTGCTCAACTACCAATTTTTTCATCTCTTTATTAGTTATGAAAAAAGAAAGAAAAACTATGTGAAAAGAAAAGGAAGACGAATTGAGATAGTTATTTTTTTTTTCCAATTACATGGAAAATTGTAAAACAAAATAAAAAATCTGCAGGTGTTTTGTAACACTAGTCTCTCTAATAATTATGTAAGTAAGTTAGTTCTTATGTGATTATGAGTTTTTTTTTTTAATTAAGTGAGTTCTTTGTATATTCGTCAGGTATAAAAAAGTACTAATAGAAAATGGACGTTATGTCTAATAACTAGCACATGACCTAGGATTTGTCTAAACTTATATTTTTTGACCCAAAATTTAGATGAGGTTTTTCATTCCTATACACTATTTGAAACATTATTATTTTTAATGTTTATGTTTAGTTAATTATCCGGCATAAATAAGTTTTGTTTACGAAATATATACAATCCACCTTAAAAGGCTTCCAATTCATTATTTGTACTTTCAATCAAGGGATTTAGATACGTCATTTTCCTTTTTCCCTCTCCTCTCTCCCCTCTTCTCTCCAGATTCTCTCTTTCTCCCCATATCTTCGGCAAAAGCTATAGATCTTGCATAAAAGTGAATTTAATTATATCATTACTTTCAATTACAATACCAAAAACATACTTTGATAGTTGCTTTTGTGCAGCATCAGATCCTAATTGCGTCACCAATCTTTGCTGACCAATGGAGAAAAACTGCACTTGTTGTGACATATGAAGTGCTTTGCTCTGCAAAAAAGGGCTTGATGTTAACTTTCTTCTGTTTAGTAATTTTAAAGTAAGTAATGTCTAAAATTAATTATATTCATATTAACAATTAGAATCACAATCTCAAAAGGAGTATATGATTGCATTTTTCAGTTTCTTGCTTTTATCTAAGTATTTGCTCAGTACTTCAACCACCATATCCATATGGGAAAGTCATGAAAAAGCAACGGAATGCTGCTTACGAATTAGCAACCTCACATAGAACAGTTACTCAAAATGAAGAGGAGAAAATAAGTGAATTGGAAGAAAACAAAAAAACAAAGCAACAAATCAGAGATAATATAAATTGGGAAATTACAGTGAATTTGGGGGAATTCACTATGTTGTTCAACTTTCATACAATATGTCTTTTGTATATTTTGTATTTGATTTATACATAGTAAAACAAATTTCATACAACTAATTATATATTATACAACTTATCTATAATTTTTATATATTATTTCTACTCAGTTATATACAACTACAATATCATACAACTTAAATATAATTTTAATACAATGTTGTTCAACTTTCATACAATAGTTAAATAAATAAAAGAAAAATATATAAACAACAAAATATAATTTTTCTACAATTTTACTACATTTTCGTAAATATAATGTATATCATGTCTTCTTCTTCTTCTTCTTCTTCTTCTTCTTCTTCTTCTTCTTCTTCTTCTTCTTCTTCTTCTTCGAGTTTCAATCTGAATTCAGCCAAAATCAAGTCTAATCTTTACCAAAATCCCTCAAATTTGAGATATAAACTCCAAACCATATTTTCAATTATTTGCAACAACACTCAATCCAAACAAATAATGATTTTTGTAAACTCAAATTCGAATTCAAAGCATCAAAGCTTTTTAGTGGCTGTCAATGGTGGAATTGCTGCTCTCTTTTCATTTGCTTTACATTACTGAAATTAGGGATTGAGAGATCTAGAGAGAGACGTAGAGAGAATTCCCAATTCTTTGCAACTACATCCAATTCAAACAAATAATGTTTTTTGAAAACCCAAATTCGAATTCAAAGCTTCAAAGCTTTTAATGTTTGTCAATGGTGGAATCGTGGGTGGGTGCAAGATACGTGAGGGAGAGGGATGGAATGTAGAGAGAGAAACGTGGGGGATTGAAAGATATGTTAGAGTAATTTTAGGATACTAGTTATTATCATTAATTCCCTTAAAATGTACATAAATGGTAATTGGGTATATAAAATGTAGTTATAGTAAAACTTGAGTATGGAGGGTAATATAATTTCATATAGTGTATAGGAATGTAAAAATCTCAATTTGGATATGGATATTGACAATAAGATTTAATAAGATAGAGTCAATCTTAGCAAATATTAATGTCCAAAAGATATATTAACTGATTTCGTAGTGAGATAATATGTATTTTATCTAAGTAGAAATAAATGTTGATAACACTACAATATTCAATGACCCCAAAAAGGAAGGGGATAGCCTTAAATAACAATAAATAGTAATGAATGACATTTAAATAAATAAGAACATGTGAGTCACCCTAAAAGTGTGAGATCCGTGGAAATTCTTTCTGACAACGATGAATGATTGATGAGCCTTTGAATATTCACATCATTCCTGAATCGTGTGGAAATGTTAGGCAAACGTCTTAAGAAAAAGGTATATTTTGTATGTGTGCAATAAAACAAGATTCTATAGAGAAAGTCAATATGTTCTCTTACAAGTGAATATCCCCAATCCCCCATAACTATGTCTCTTTCTATTTATAAAGGAACATATGTCTAAAATACCCTAATAGTACATATTCAGAGATTATTCATAGGAATATTTTCTCTGAAGTCTTATCTAAAATTAGTCGTTATTATTCCTTTTTAAGAGGAGTGCTCGTCCTCGGCCTCGACCTGTGATGACTTCTCTACCAAATCCTTCGTCTCTCGCTAGATCACTTCGACCTTGAATTCGCCTTTTACTGAAGTCATACTTAGGACACGTGGAAGATCTCGAAGGCCCTCTTAATGCTGATATGGTCTAAACATAACTAAGTTAATACAGTTAGTCCCTCCGCTTGTTGAGGTTGTCCTCGCGAGCGAGCACAATGAGCGGATAATATCGTTCATGGTTGAGCTTATCGAACAGTTAACATGGATCATAGTTGTTGTAGGTCACTGGAAATGTGGCTTTCTATGGGCCGCATATTCAATACTTTTGATTTTCCCGGGTGATTTAATGGAACCATTTGGTCCAAGAGATGGAGTGACAGCATGATGTCATGTGTCATGATGACGCTGATTCTCGATGCAATTTGCCGATTCTCGCGTGGACCTTGATTGGTTCTGTTGTTTTAATTTTTGTGCTAATCATGACCAGTTGTTTCGATTATGGTGCCCTAAACCTTATAAATAGGAGATGACTTGTTGAGTTTAAAGTTTTTTACTCTCTCTCTACTTCTCAAGCAAAAATTCTTCTCATTCTTCGTAAGATTTTACCGCCTTTCTGTTGCTTTCTCTACTTCTTCATCTTCCTTTATAACAATGTCGAAACTCTCACATGATGCTCATTTGGAGAATCACTCTGTCCCTTTGGACGTCATATTCCCTAATCAAGGGGAAGATGTTACAGTCACTGCTGAGGAGGAAACCCTCCTTACTGTGGAGGAGATTATACCTCGGTACCTCGATGCCAAACCAATTTCCTCAAGGCACCGGAAGTGGTGACTGAGATGTTTCGCTCTATAATGACGGTCGAGCGTTTAGCTGAATTTAAGGCAAAGTTCGGCCTTCCTGATCACGTGAAGTTGGTACCTGTGGGTGACAATGAAGTGGGGGTCCATTGTCCCGGATTTTGCGCCCTTTACGCTTATCCATTTATAATCAGCTATTCGTTCCCTTTCCTAATATTGATAGAAGAATTGTACCACCACTACAACGTGTGCCCCATGCAGCTTATCTCCTACGTCTTCAAAGTGGTCAGAATGTTGGTGAAGATCGCCAAATTAGCCAAGGTTGAGATCATAGTATGCCACTTGGTGCATCTTTTCGCCCCCATTTCTATCGAGGGACATTGGTGAATCTCCGCCACCGTGGGGGGAAATGCTTGGTGGTAAGGATGGATGACAAGGGTAGTAGGAACTTCTAGCTTGATTATTTCTTCGTCAGGGCCGATGTCGTAGTGTCTGTTGCCGCCAGATTCCCTGAGGCCTGGAACCTCACCCATAAGTGTCATGTTGTTTGTGTTTTTTAACATTTTTCTTGATGTGGGTTGGGCAATTGGCTCTTCTTTTTCCGTAGCTACTATACGACCACTCTAGTTGGTGGCACTTATTGCCGACTGGGTCAGATAGATCCTTCCGTATACGGTAGTGATACGTGACTGGTAGAGTTTTTTTCTAGAAATTCAGATCGGCTCTCCCTTCAATAGGTAATCTCTCCCATATCATCGATGTCATTTTTATGTGGTATGTGTCTGTTCTTTATACCGATCCTTTCCTTTCTCTCTAGGTTCGATCAGAGGGGCCGCGAGAAGGTCGAGGGCCCCTGTATCCTCCTTCCCTATTTTGGTCTTTGCGACCTCCGCTCCTCCCTTATTTTTGATTGTTGATGAGGATGACGAACACTTGCCCAGTGATGGGGATCTTCAACCTTGAAAAGGAGGTCCGTGGATGTGGGTGGCAGAGTTTCTTCGACCGTCGATGTCGCGAGAGAAAGTTTCACGTTGCGTGAGACAACGATAATTTTTATTAATGATGGTATCGAGCCGAGCCTCAAGGCCTCGAGACAAGAAGAAGTCAGTGTATGCATGCCCTTACACTCCGAGGGGGGAGAGATCGAGGAGGTGTTTATTAATGGCAACCACACACTTTTATGACAAGAGGAGGCTTCAACCTCCCGAGCGGCCATGGACATTTCTTTGCCTACTAGTGATAGGGGAAGATTGTTGTCGAGGAGGGAGATAAGTTGGGCTCCTATATCGATTTAGATTACTTGAGAATGATTGATGAGGGGCTCACCCAGATGAAGGTGAGACTGGAGGGAGGTTAGAGGACCATCACTATCCCAATCAATTGTTATTT